TTTTTTTTTTTAACAAGGTGTTTTGGAACGGGCTCAAAACTTACCAAAAACAAAAAAAGATGTACTTCGCTTGACCCGAAGGCCAAGTGCTATTGCTGGATTCTTTTAGACGAGCTTCTCTTTTTGTAATTGATATTTGGTAGGTTTACATATTAAACTATATTTTTAAAGAAAAAATATTTTTTAGTTATATTTATAAAAAAATGTTAAAAATCTTAAAATTATATTATTTTAATAAATTTATATTTAAAAGCTTAAAATATTTTAATAATTAAAGTAAAAATTAGATTATTTTAATCTTTTTTATAATATTTTAATAAAATAAAATAATTTTAAGTATTTTTTACCTAATTTATTTTATAATTTTGGTTAATTTACACTAATCTTATTTTTTAGAATATTAATTAGAGGATTAACTTCTAAATATTTTTTAAAGAAAAGTTAAAGGATACCATTTATAAAATATTTTTGCATATTATTATATTAGTATTGAATCAAAAGATTAACTTTTAGATATGTTTTCTATAATATAAGTATGGCCTAATTTAACTAATATTTATATTGTGTATGTATGATTGTATTTTTATATTTGTTCTCTTTAATTTTAAATTAAAAAATAATAATTTTTTAAAAAATATGTTATATAATATATTAAATCAAAATATGTATCAATTAATATCTCAATGCAATTGATATTTAAAATAATAATTGTTATTATATAACATCACAAAAATTTATAAATTTATAATTAAAATTTTTTATCAATTAAATTTTTTTTTTTATTATTTCAAGTATAAGTGATACTTCAAACGCATTAACAACATTTTTAATGTTTTACTGCAGTAAGGACTCAAACAATAGGACCCTTCAAAATACAGTAAAATAAAGTACATGGTGGTAGATAGACCTTTTGAGGTACCCAAAGGCCAAAGCATTAGAAAAAACGGACAATCACTTGGGCTGAAGACAACATGAGTAGATCTAATGTTTTGAAAAATCTCCAAATTTCACGTGGCCACATGGGTGTCGTAAACCATTTACCTCTGACTTGTCAATGACGCCTCCTACTCAGTACTAACAATTAAGGAGAAGGTTCTCCAACTTGACAAACCTTAAAAGTATTTATTTGGAAACTAATTTTTTCTTTCAAAAATTTAAAAATTTTTGAAAAGAAATTTTGAAATTAAAAAAAAAATTTACACAAATTCTGATAATGTTTAAATATATAATTTATTCAAATTTTACTAAAAAAATCACTTTAAGAATTAGTTTCTCAATTTTACTCAAACAAAATTATAAATTTACAGAAAAAAAAAAAAAAGGTAAGCAAATGCATGTTAAACTTTTCCACACGACATCTATATATATCGCGTTGTCAAATGTGAACAGATTTCTTATCCTTTTGTTCTTCTCTTCTAGAATGAAAAGAATAGATTTTGGGTTGACAATATAGTACTGACATTCTATTTATTGTCCGCAAATCAACTGTGCTTTAGGACCCACAAAGAACCTTTCTTAGCAAGACTATTCTAAAATTAATAGTGAAAATTAAATCTTATTTGGCCATAGAATCTAATGTTCCTATTTACGCTAATAGAGTATATATCTGCCAATTCCAGGACTTTTCGTGCTATCCCCATTTCCAAATCCAAAAAATACTTCTCAGTTCCTCTCTCAAACTGATGCAGCTCTTTTCCAAGCCACTAACTACCACTGACACACGCAAAAGGTTAGCAATCCCCACCAACAGTCTGACCTCGTTGATACACAACAGAGGAGGCAACGCCGTGGAGTTGCACGTCCGGCATGGGACCGCCGTGTGGCCAATTATGTGCACTACTCGCAGAAAGGGGTATAAAAAGCCTGTCCTTTCCAAAGGGTGGAGATCGTTTGTTCTTAAAAACAAACTAAATGTGGGTGACATTGTAACCCTATTTAAGGAGGCAGATGAAGCAGGGTATTTGAACTACAGAATTGAGGTGGAGAGAGCAGATGGCCCATCTCTTAAGCATGCCGGTGCCACCGTCGGAAATTCACCAAGTTGCAAGTATGAAAATGGTGAAGTCAAGCGATTTGGTGTTACAGATGAGAAAGTAGAGAAGAAGTCTTTCAAGCTATTTGGGGTTCGTGTCCTGGAGACTGGGCCGCTGGTGAAGCGCCCTGATGAATCTACTGCTGGAAAAACAGACACTGGGGCCAAGGAGGGGAGAGAATACCATAACAAGAATTCTGAAGGGCTCACTCTAGATTTGACTCTGGCTTCACCCATAGTGAATGAACTAAGGTAAATATTCTTATGGCCCATTCTCACAGCCCAATCAATAACAATTGAGAATGGATGAAATAAGAATATTAATTTTGTAATTTTTTATATTTAAAAATGTAAACTTATTGTACTTGGGCCTCACGCTCAATAACCATAGATCGACTTGTAAGGTGCATCCCTCAACTTGAGAGTTGGGGTGTGATTTCCTTCTTCTCAAAATTGTAACCTTGTTAAAAAAAATTTTAAAAAAATGTAAACTTATTTATTTTAATTAAAATGATAAATTTTTAATTTTATCTATTTAAAAATATTTATTTTGTATTTTTTTTATATAAAAGTGCTAACTTTACATTTAACATTTTAGCATCAGCATTTTATTATTTTTTAAATAAAAAAATAAGATTAATATTTTTAAGTTAAAAATAAAAAATTTATCGACATAATTAAAAATTAACAAAATTCACATCTTCA